AGGACAAAGGAGGAGGAGGAGAAAGGAGGAGGAGGAGGAGGAGAAACTTGAAAAGATTCAAAAGATGACACGTGGCACTTCGGCACTTCGGCACTTCGGCACTTCGACTACCAAAGAAAAGCAATGAAGCAGGGAGGTGGAGGAGGAGAAGAAGAAGAGGAGGAAAGGAGGAGGCGAAGAAGAAGAGGAGAAAAGGAGGAGGAGAGGAAGAAGAAGAAGAAGAGGAGGAATCTTCGCTGTGGAGGTGGATACCCTATCCACCACGATGGGGCGACCTTACCTTTCGGCGGGCATGGGCGTCGGGCAGTGGCAGCGGCAGCGACTACGGGCAGTGGCGGCACCTCTTCGACGACAGACAGGGGAGACGACGGGCAGCGGGCAGGGGCGACGACGTGCAGCGGCGACACCTCTTCGACGACGGGCAGGGACGACGGCCAGCGGCGGCACCTCCTCGACGACGGGCAGTGCAAAACTGGGCTGGAAAGCCCGGCGGCGTTCGAATTCGAAAATGGGCTGGAAAGCCCGAGCGTTCGAAGCCCGCCCGAAAAAAAAAATGTGCGGGGGGGCGGGGAGGCTGCCACGGGCCCAGACACATCAAAACTGGCCTCCCCCCCCCCCTGCGCAAAAATGCGTTGGGCCCACCCGGGGGCAAACCGGGGGACCCGACCAGCCGGGCCGCCCGGGACCCCTGCCGGACGATGGCTGGGCCGCCGGGCGGCCCAGATTTTAACACAGCTTTTTTTTTCTTTTTGTTTTACAAAACATCATAACACTCGTTTCCGATTGGTTTGTTTCCTGTTTGTGAATCCCAATGAGAATTTTTATTTTTATTTTTTTTTCTGACTTGTTTTCCCCGAAAACAAAATGGCTGAAGGTGCTGTGTCCAGTAATCCTGAACAGGGCAGGGAAGAAACGAAGCCCCTGGCTGAACAGGATCTGCAGGATGCTGCAGTGAAGGCTGCAGAAGAAGCTGGCGTCGCTGCACAGCGGGAATTAGATCGGGTGGAAAGKGAGAAAGCAGAAGCAGAGAAGAAGGGAAAGGAAGTGGCCAGAAGGGCTGAGTTACTAGATACTTTTGCCAAGGCCACTACAGACGGCCGTGTTKCTGAGATTACATAGAAAACTTCAAAGTCGTTCGTATTGGAATCCGTTCATACCTGGGATGTGTTCACAAGYTGGGATGACCGGATCTCAACATTGGAATCCAAGGTATCATCGATGGATAAAATGCTGCAACATTTGTCGACAGTGTTCTTCCATCATTTCCCTCCTCCTCCTCCTGTTCCCTCTCCTGCTCCCCATTCTTCTACCCATCCATCTCCCAGTCATACCACACCATCCAGTTGCTCACAGACTTCCAGATCAGGCTCACCCAAGAACCAGCAAAAAGGGAAACCAGCAAAAAGGAAAACCGGTGGACCAGCCATCAGTGCAATTCAGCCAAGACAGTGGTTCCCCAAGATGGCCCAGCCCGAGAAGTTCACAAGGGAAGACCCCAAAGTGGAGGTCTCCGAGTAGATACCTCAGATGAGGTCTTACCTCAGGAGCTACACCTGTCAGAAGTGGACAAGGCGCGTGCCACAGTGGCCTTTCTTGGAGGTGCCGCTCTGAAGCGGGCCGATTCTGAGGCCAACAAGGCTCAGAAAAGTTCCGTGGTTGGACATCTGCAACAGGTCTGGATGTAGTCTTCCCGGGCAAGGAGGAGAGGTTTGTTGACAAGGAAAGAGCACACAAGGCATCCGATGAGCTGATCAGGATTCGTCAGACTAAGTGGTAGGGATCCCTCTCACGACTGTACTCAAAATGGGAGAAGTTGATCTCTACTCCCGGTTTGTCCATGTCAGAAGAGGTCAAACCGAAGTGGTTTACCCGGGCTGCCCTGGATGCCTATGCACATGCCCTGTATGTTACTGGTTACAAGGACTGGCTGTCTTTTGGCAAAGCAGCCCTGGACATGGAGGCTTCCCTCCGTCTTCAGACCAATTCCCAAAAGGGAACCACCTTCTCTTCCTAGACGAAGGGGGAACTGCTCCCTCAACTGGTTTAGACGTAGGAGCATCAACAAACCAGGCTGCTACGATTCTCGGCCAGATACTGATAAGCCTTGCTAGAGGCTTAGGTCAATTCTAGCCCCAAAAGTCCTTCTCTCCCAAGGGGTCTGGCAGTGGCCAGCAGAAACAGAACCTCCCAAAGCTTGCCAAGTGTCCAGGTAACCCCATGGATCCTGCCTCTTTTCCATGGAGAGATTTGAAGATTCCCCCGGGGACCGGACAAAAGAGGAAGGACAATGGGGTTTGCCTCAGGTGCGAAGGCAAACATTTTTTTAAGGATTGTCCCAGTTGGGGCAGTAACTTTTCAAAAAACTGAACAGGCCAGCAAAGGTAGCAGCCACCCGTACTGAGCTGAATTCACCTTCTTCTGAAGGTGAATCAGCTATAGAGCCTGATTGTGGTGAGGTTGAAATTGGATTTTTTTTTTTTTCCATTGAGCTTTTTGTTTTATAATGAAAAATCAGATAGATATGATTTTTTTTCTAAACTTTTTATTTATTTATTTATTGAATATAAAACAAAATTTACTTGTTTATAAGTAGATAAAAAATAAACTTTAGATTTATGTTATACCATACTTGCGCCGCATGCCGTGCACGGCGTCGCGGCACATGCGGCACAGAGTGCAGTCGGCGAGCGCACGGCATGCAGCGCATCAGCCAAAACAGGGGTTGGGGGGGGGGGGGGGGGGCCGGGGGGGGTACCGGGGGAAATTGCCTCCGTGCGCGCAAAAACAAAATTTTGGGCCGCGTGGAGGCCCGATAAAAATTTTGGGGGGAGATCTGCTTAGTTCGTTTTCGAACTACTCAAGCCTCTCCCACGCCGCCGTTGGTCATCCCTGCACTTCACCGACCCGCCAGTTGTGCCTTGTCTCCTTGGCAGCTGTCGTATGGTCCGTTTTCATCATTGTTCGTCGTCAGTCGTGCCCGCCCGTCACCAGAAGCACCAGCCCGAGCAAGAAGTCAGAGGCAGCAGGAGGCAGCAGCACGCAGCAGCACACAGCAGGAGGCAGCTGGAGCAGGAAGCGAGAGCGAGGAGGAATCACCGAACCGGTTGAGGTGAGTTGACACCAGCTCTCTCTCTCTCTCTCTCTCTCTCTCTCTCTCTCTCTCTCTCTCTCTCTCTCTCTCTCTCTCTCTC